CGGCTCCGCAAGCCCCGCCCCCCACAAACACTCTGCTGACCGCTAAGCACTGATCAATACACTCTGATCAATACACTCTAACTCTGATCAATACAGTCTGATCGCATTGATCTCGTGACTTTAAATGAACGCCATCAGCAGCTGTGACAGCGCTCACCTGTCCACCTGAGTCAGAATTATTACTGCGACTCACGATTCTTTTAGTTACTAGTTAATTGATTGATTACTTTGACGATTAATCGGATAAAAGATTTTTTTTATTTAACTTCTTAAGCTTTTTAAAAGATGCAAATAAATAACTAAATTCATTTTTTTCAATAAGTAAATAAAGATTTTACTGCCTAAAATTCAACAACAGTATTACTTTAGTGAACACTTAATTTGTAGCAAAGGAAATGAAGAAAATGTTCCTAACATGTGAAAATCTGTTGATTGTTTTATGGATTAATTATTAGAAAAAAGAAATTAATAGGTTTTTATTTACATATTTACAGAAAATTATGTTTGTCCAACTTAAATGCAAAAGTTTTGTACTTTCTGCAATGATTCTTTTTCTGAGTCTTTTCACTCCAGCTAACAGTGAATCGATTACTACATCAGTAGACAATTATTTAAATAATTGATTAATTACGATTAATCGTTTGAGATGAGTGAGAATTCCAGTTTCAAAAACCGTATGAATAATTTCAGAACCAGTTCAGAACCAGTTCAGTTCACTGCAGCAGAACCAGTTCAGAACCAGTTCAGAACCAGTTCAGTTCACGGCAGCAGGACTGTGGTTCCCCCTGTGGGCAGTGATCTGCTCAGAGAGCCATACATCCCATTTGGACATTGCTCTCTGGGGATTCCACCAGAACCAGAATCTCATCTCAGATCATTTGTCTCACCTTCAGGAAAATGGGTCAGGCCGTGGAGAACCGGGCATGAATCACGTCTGACCCAGTTCCCGCTCCAGGTGTGTGTTTGCTGTCACTTTCATTAGGAACCATCTGTGCGGTGAACTCTGGGACATCTGGGCCGGGCTGACTCCTGGGGGGTCCACCTGCCTGACCCCGGCCTGAACCTTTAAGCTGATCACACACACATTCAGAACCGGGTCGGCGTGTCCCAGTTGTGGAAAGATCACTCTGGTTGTTGCAGCTGTTGCAGGGAACACACACACTAAAAGAACAGAGTGTATTGAGTTTTTCTAACTAGCCAGAGACATTTGTTTTGGATTAGAACAACCTTTTAATTTCTATTTTTGGGGTTAGAAACTAAAAAAACAATTTTTAAAATTAACCTTTAGATATTTTTGGAATTAATTCATTTAAATCACAAGTACTTCATTTATCCCAAAGAAAATTAAAAGTTGTCATAACTCATATCATTCAAATATTTTCAAAAAGTTGTAGTCTATGATTATTAGGAAGCATCTCCAGAAGCAGTCAGTCTTCCAACAAATCTAAAGAAGCCTCTGACTGAAGACAGTTACTGTAAGTCAAATGTTTATCAGGACATGCTGACGTCTCAGTATCCGAACAGCAGAGATGATATTCCACTGTAAAATGTACTAGATTACAGAATCAGTTGTTCCCAAGCTCTGCTCCTCCACCTCATTTGCTTTTGCCACTTCTCTTTCTGGCCTTATAGTTCGAAAGATGTTGGAGTAGGGAATATGATCTCCTCTTTTTGGTTGATAGACTACCAAAAATTGTTCTCAAGAGTATTTCTACTTCAACATATTTTTACTCAAGTAAACATAGCTGAGAAATTACTTAAACATGAATAAAAAAGTATTTGTAAAAAGAAAAGGACACTAATCAAGTAATGATTAACTGATCAAAACATCAGTCATTAAAAAATTACATAATCAGTTACAAAGTCACAAAATCAAACATTTTTCCAAATCACTTTTTTTTCAATACCAGTTTCAGTTTTTGAAACTTTAATCACAAAAGTTAATCACAGTGGGTATTCAGAAATGTTAATTTTCTTCCCAATACTTACTGAGGTAAATATAGTTACTACGCAACTCTGCCAATTAGTAACGGGTCAGAACCTGGCGGTTCGCAGAGCTGCAGATATGAAGGTTGTGATATCTGCTGCCCTCTGCTGGACAGAACTTAAATTGCAGGACAATTTCTCTGATCCATTCATCCATTGGATCTGACCAGGGGCGCCAGATCCGGAGCTTCTATCCTGCAGAGAGTCCAGGCAGATTGGAGCGTCAAAAGGTGGCAGCTCGACTCATGTTTTGGTAGTTCTTCCTTTTTCTAAAAATATATGTATTAACATGATTTCTGTGCATTTTTTCTTAATTTGTGTGTTTTATGATGTAAAGCACTTTGAACTGTCTTGTGCTGTACAAATAAACTTGATTGATTTAATTAAATTGCAAAGAAAAATTAACACAGCATCTTTTTAGAGGTAGAGCTGAGAAATGCAATACAAAAAAGACTCAATCTGAAATGAAAGTATTAATATTACAAAGCTAGTATTGATCCAATACTGATATCCATGATCAATCCGCCCACCTCCAGTGACTTATTTTCACAATAATCACATTTTGGAATTTGTAGGAAACACAGAAAAAAAGTTTTAAAGTATTAAAATATAAAACAATGAATGTTAACACTTTAAAATACTTCTGTTAGTTTATAAATCATTGAACAAGTTGGCGCCTGAAAACATTAAAGTTCTGCTGTTGTTATCATAGCAACCTTCCAGATCTTTCAGGTTCTGGTTCTGGTTCTGGATGCAGAGCTGTACCAGAACAAATCTGGAACAAACTTTCATAAAACTGCAAAACAGCCGAAACACTGAGTTCCTTTAAATCTAAACGAAAAACTTACCTGCTTAGATTTTCTTTTGGTTAGTAACAAGTAAAACATTCATTGATTATATTTGGTTGATAATTTTGATAAAAAAATTTTGATCCATAATTATTATAAAGTGAAAAGCACTTTGAGATTATTGTTAAAATGTGCTGTACAAATAAACTTCACTTTGACTGAACACATTAGCAAAAGAAAATACAATTTCACTGTTTAAAACACACTATAATGTCATAAATAACACAATGTAGGTTTTATTTATTTTTTCCTATAAGGTAAAAGGATTTAAAACAGGTTAAAAGTGCACAAATCATAAAACAATAATAATAATAGATTTAATTTATAATGCCCTTTATAGTTTTAAATCTCAAAGGGCAAAAACAACACAAGCAACAATGGATAAAAATAATTAAATTAATTCATAAATAAAAGAGATTTAAATCAATGTCTACAAAAATGAACCAAAAACAACACAGAGAGTATCGCGTATTTATGTCTTTAACGTAATTTTATCTGAGAATGTGTGAGATTTACAGAATCAGTGTCAGATTTAACTGTGTTGCAGTCGGAGGTTGGAGGAGTTTTAACTCTGATGAATGCAGGAGACGCTCCGCTCCGGGATCAGGATTCTGCGGGTCAGGATTCTGTTTCCGACCCGCGGCTCCTCAGGACTCATCAGATGTCTCTAATGGAGGGACTGAGGCGATCTGCCGACACCTGCACTGCTAAATGTCAGCCAGTCGTACGGCTGGATGCCTCACACACTCTCAGGTATCTGAGCAGCTTAAAGCTCCTCTGTGTGTGTGTAACAAGCCTCTGCTCTGTTCTGAGTCTGCATGAGTCGGCTTTTCCCGCTGAAACATCCTGCAGCTCATCGGCTCGTCTCCAGACACGAGGACGCAGAAAAAGGTTTTCATTCAAGAATCCGGGACGAACCGTGGATCTGATCCTCAGAGACTCAGCAGCTCTGTCCTGTTTGCTGACATCCTGTCCACTTTCACGCTTCCCTGAAAGTCAGACAGGCTGAGGTTATCCGGAGCTGTCTCTCTAGTCATGCTGCTACAGACACACTTGTTTTTCTTCCTTTCTTTTTTAGCAGGTTAATAGAAATGCACTGCAAAAGCACAAAACCTTACCATGTATTTTCTGTCCATTTTAGTGCAAATATCTTAAATAAGACCAAACTAACTTACAAGTAACTTTTCATCAAGATGTAGGAGCTCATTTTAAGTCAACAACTGCTTAATATTGATGACAAATTACTGGCTCCACTAGCAGATCATCTCACTTACAGCATGAATTTTTACCAGTGAAACAATCTGCCACCAGAACTAATCATGTTTATCAATATTAAGAAATTACTGACTTCCAAAAAACTTCAGTCTCTTGTTGAAAAGTTACTTTTAAGTTAGTTTTGTCTTATTTCAAGTGTACAAAGACATCTGCACTCGAAACTAGACAAAAAATATTTTATTTAAAAAAACTTTTCAGCAAGACATGAAAACCTGTTTGAAATCAATAATTCATTATTATTGATTTTTGTAAAAGTACCAGTTTCTATCTCATTTTTTCATGTTCTAAGTTATTTTTTACCAAAATTGAAAGTAAGTATTGACTTAAAACAAGCTTTTAAATTTTTTATAAGTTATTTTTTGCTTAATGTCAAATCTACAAATATATTTTCACTGAAATGTAAAGAAAAATACTTGGTAAGATTTCGTTTTTGCAGTGTAAGCTGTTCTAATCACCTCTGTACGTGAATCTAATTAAAATTGAAAAATAAACGTTATTTTTGTTTTTCAGTTTTTTTATTTTATTTTTGTTGTTGCTATTTATTCTATTATCCTGGTATTTATTTTGTTAGTCTGTAATGTTTGTTGTATATGGAGTAATTGGTGAAATAATAATAATAATGAAATTAATAAAATAAAATAAAACTGCCCCTCATCATGATGCTGCCTCTTCCATGCTTCCCCTCTGGAGGATTTCAATGCCAATGTCCAGTTAACGCATGAACATGTGCAACTTTTTAGGTTTTTGGGGCTTTTTTTTTTTGATAAATCCTTTTACATTTTATTTTGAAACTTTGCAGCTTCCTGTCCCTATTTTGGGATTCTTCTCAGGTTTCTGAGGGTGAACGTTGGAGTTAGAGTCAGATCCAGCTGGAAACAAATGTCAGTTTTATCTACGGTGAAGATGTTTCAACAAATGGATTTTTTTTTTCTCCCGACAGGTGAGACGTATAAAGGAACAACAAGTTACCTGTGTGATGACTCCGCCCACACCTGAGCCAACACCACCCACATTAACTTTATAAAACACAGAGACTCAGACTCTGGATGTAGGAAACATCGTTAACCTGCAGCAGCACACCTGGGAGCCACCTCTCGACAGGTAAGTACTGAACCGTCAGGAGTTCAAGGTGTTTGAGATTTTGATCAAATAAGAAGCTCTAAATCTGATCTATTTACCTGGATCAATTATACGGACATTTTCACACCTCGTGCAGTAAATTCGGTTCAATTGGGGATCAAAATTACAACATTTGTTACATTTTAAGCATCTGCTAAAAAAAGAAAATAAAAGAAAAGTTCCCCTTCTTACCTGTAGTGGCGCTTCACCAAGAACCACTGAAGGAAAGGACACAAAAATCCCCAGAAGAAGACACTGAACACAACTTCCTTCTTTATGAAATGACATCGATGCGTTCTAGTCCACTTCCTGCGTTGTTTGGAGCGGTCTCTGGTCCGCTTGGCGCTCACATGTGCATTCAAACCGCACCAGAGTTCACTGCAACCGGACCGAGACCACGGTCTGTCAGCGGACCAGAGATAGTTTTTATTACGCATTCACACCTCTCCAACCGAACCAGCTTTTGTCAAACGGACCAGAGTTTGATTAAACCGGATTAAGCAGGTCTGGTGTGAACGCAGCCCTGGAGTTGTCTCAATAGACTCCCAGCCCACCTGGATCTCACCTGTTTGGTTCTCACCTGTTTGGTTCTCACCTGTTTGGTTCTCACCTGTTTGGTTCTCACCTGTTTGGTTCTTACCTGTTTGGTTCTCACCTGTTTGGTTCTTACCTGTTTGGTTCTCACCTGTTTGGTTCTTACCTGTTTGGTTCTCACCTGTTTGGTTCTTACCTGCTCTCCTTTCTCGCCACAGATGATTGTGATCCGCTGGTCCAGTCGCCGCTGTGATGTTTGTCTCTCGTTGTCTCCGTCTCGTCCTGCGAGACGTCCTCTCCCAGTCCTGCCTGCATCATTTCCTGCTGGAGTTTGTCGGCACCGCCCTCTTCCTGTCTGCCAGCCTATCAGCTGTTCTGATAAAGGCTGACCTGAGGTCGACAGGTCCGACCAATCACAGCCGTCCCCCTGAGGGTTCTCCCCCCTCTGGGTTTGTGGGATGTCCCCTGCAGGTTGTGTTGGTCTTTGGGCTATCCGTTGCCATGGCAGCGCTGTCCGTGGGTGGAGCAGTTCACCTGAACCCTGCAGTTTCCATAGCGATGGCTCTGACCCTGAGGCTCCGCCTGTGGAGAGCAGCGCTGTACGTGATTGGCCAGCTGCTGGGGGGCGTGGCCTCCGCGGCGCTGCTGCTGGGGCTGATGGGAGATGTGGCGCCTGCCGTGAACCAGGTGAGTGTTCGTCCGACAGCCAATCAGAGAGCACGGTCCTCTCTGACTCGCCCCGTCTGTATCCAGGTGACCGCCGGCGTCCGGCTGCATCAGGCCGTCACCATGGAAACGCTCATCACACTCCAGCTGGTCCTGGTCGTCATGGTGACCACGGAGCTCCCGCTACCTGAGGTGGCCACGCCTCTATTGGTCGGTCTGACTGTCAGTCTGGGTCACCTGGTGGCTGTAAGTCCCGCCCACCTGCCCGCTGGCCCTTTAAGCAGCCAATCAGCCAATCAGCCAATCAGCTTCTGCTTCCTCTGCAGGTCGGCGCCACAGGATGTGGGATGAACCCAGCGCGCTCCTTTGGTCCTGCCGCCGTCACACTCGACTTCCGGAACCACTGGGTCAGCGCGCGCGCGCACACACACACACACACACACACACACACACACACACACACACACACACACACACACACACACAGACTTTATTCTCATCCTAACCATCACATACATCTTTAACATTAACATTAAAAAGCTCCAGCAGGACAGATTTGACCCCTGACCTTGAGTTTCACACATGTGCAACAAACAATTAATCAACCGTTAATTGTAAGTTTAATTGTTTGCATCCTAAACGCAAACACACTAACTTGTCCCTGATTGGTCGCTTCCACCGCAGGTGTTCTGGGCGGGGCCTATTCTCGGGGCGTGTGTGGCCGCCCTCCTCAACGACCTGCTGCTGCGGCCGCGCTGGCGTTGCCCTGGAGATTGGTGGGCGGAGCTAAAACAGCTGTATGTGCTGACAGACAAACAGCAGCAGGGGGCGCTGACACAGCTTCCGTAGTGCACCTGAGCAGCGGAGATCGTCCTCTTCATCGTCGCCATCATCGCAAACGCTTTCGAAGGAGCTGGACTAAATTCATTCTTCTCGTTTAATGATGCTGAAAGATGTTTTTAAACCTCTTTACCTCACAAATTAGAGCATCAATCCAACTCCAGCAACCATGCAGCCCAGAACTTTATCATTTCTAGTTTCATTTGATTATAATGTTTTCAGCATTTTACACAACTATGCATATTTTGCAAAACATGCATACATTATGCACAAAATATGTGTCAGGTGTTTGTCTGAACCTGATAAAAAGAACTGTCAAATATCCAGTAACTTGTTGTAGCAGGTGCTACATTTAATCAAATATTAGTGGACATGCATGCTTCCTTTGAGCTTGTATGTATAATTTTGAACCTGTGTGGATCAAATCTCTAATAAATTTAAACTTAAGCACCAATTTTTGTTTAAAATGTTCACAGTTGTTGGTTTTGCTCAAGTCTGTTGCTTAAAACGGCCATAAAAAAAGAGGCTGAGAAATAAAATGAGTTATTAACGAGTTCTTAAGGAGTGTAAAAGATCAACCATGAAGGTTTTACTTTCCGGGATGTTCCTGAACTCACCACCCACAGCAAACTAAACTCAGCAGATAAGCCAGCTTCTGGTTTTATTTTCTATCAGCAGGAAACAGCAGCTCAGAGCGTTGAACACACACCGCCAGCTGTCAGTCATCTGTCAGGACACACACACACACACACACACACACACACACACACACACACACACACACACACACACACACACACACACACACACACACACGCACACGGAGACAGACAGACAGACGGACAGACTGGGGTTATAAAGGCGTGTTGAAGCATCTCTGGTTCCGTCTCCAGACAGGTGAGATGTGTGTGTTCAGGTGTGTGTGCTGCCTGCTGTGTGTCACGGTCAGTGTGTGTCTGAACCTGCTGGAGAAACCAGTGATGTTCAGTGGACCAGCGGGAAGTTTGTTTGGATTCTCCATCGACTTCCACTCCTTCAACAACACGTAAGTTCTTCATGTCATCTAATCTGTTTACCTGAAACGAAGAATAAAATCGTCATCAGTCGAGTCACACCTGGAAAAATTAGTCAGACATTTTCACTTAAGATCTTCTGAGGTTTGTCTCCAGTGGCTATCTTCTCCCCATTTCTATTCTTGCAACAAAATACTTTAATAAAAACTCATTTTTAGTGTTGCCACAGATTCTCGGTTTTATTTAGTTTTGGACTTTAACTAGGCCACTGTAACACTTGATAAATTTTGATCTGGAGCACATTGTAAGAATTTGAGCTCGATCCCAGTCGTCTGCAGCTTCTCACTGGTTTTCTCCAGGATTGTTCTGTGTTTAGTTTGTTTTTTCCTCTAAGTTTTTACACCGATTCATGTTGGTCTAATCTGAGCAGATCACATTCTTCTACATGTCTGCTGTGTTTCACACACAAGCAAACAGCAAACAGGACTTCTAAATTGAGTCTATAATGTTTGTCCAAAAGAGGGAAAAAATGTGAACTAAAAAAATACAAATGTTTTTATCAGTTTTGTCTTTTTTCCTTTGTACAAACTTTATGTTCCCAATTTATCTCCATACTTCTGTTTCTTCAATAAGTGTCCCACATCAGTGGCCTAATATGGTAATTATGGCGCCATCTAGAGACATTGCTGTGAAACTGATGATGTGAAAAAATGACTAAGTCAAATTCAGCTTTATTGCCCCTTTGCGATATGTTCCACATTTAACATTTTTAATCCATGAGGGTTTTTGTATGTGAGTCTCCAGTTTTTAATAAACCAACGTACAGCTGGGTGTGTTTCACCAAAACCGCCTCTGTTGCTGGTTTGGCCTAATTGACCCCAGGAGGGCTTTGGTCAGAAAGCATGAAGGACATGAGTAGAGTTTAAATGGTCTTGCAATGCATTCTGGGTACAAAAAAAAAAAAGACAATTAGCTGCACCTCATCAGAATGTGAGGAGAAATGAAAGAGTCTCCATTTTCTTCAAAATAAGGGCATGAATATAGATGCTAACTACTTGAACCTTCAACACAGATTTTGATCTTCATTCAGCTGAATGTTCATAAAACAACCAAGTAAATTAGCGCTTTAGAATTTGTCTGGAAATATGAACTTAGTGGAAACTAAGTGCGCTAAATTTTTTCAACTCCAGTAAAAACGATGAAGTGCTAACAGGAGAATTAGCTTTTAGCGCATTAGCTCTGGGCGTCACTGTGATGGTTCCAGATCTGCGTTTGGGTTTGGAGGGTCAATGAGACGAACAGAGAAGATCCGGTGATTCACGGCTGATTCAGAGGTTTTGGTTCTGCAGGTTCTTCGTTGTGGTTGGAGCTCCCAAAGCCAACACCAGCCAACCTGGTGTGACAGAGGGAGGGGCCGTGTTTCTGTGCACCTGGTCACCTGGTGGAGCCTGTGACATCATCGATTTTGACCTGACGGGTGAGTTTCTGATTTGTTCTGCCCAGAATGTCTTCAGGAAATTCTGAATGCTTGGACCAGAAATGACCAGTCCGATTTTTACACCCGATGTTATGATGTCACCTGTCTCCCAGGTGACGAGGAGCACATCCTGTCAGGCCTCAGGTTTCACTCCTTTAAGAGCGGCCAATGGTTTGGAGCGTCTGTTCGCTCAGTCGGCAGCACACACCTGCTGGTGAGAGAACATCGGGTCAAAAACTTCCCCATATTTAGAAGATTTTGATGATTACTTCTGAAAAGTTTTAAAATAACATCTTTAAAATTGCATTTTTTTTCTAGTCTGCCATCCAGCTTTCTAAGGATCCCTAGCGCCCTCTGGCGGCCTCACTTTGAAAAACACTTCACTGGAACATGTCTGGCGCTTTCGTCTCAGTTGGACTTGTGATTTGTGATGTTTTTAATTGAAATAAAGACTTCCTGTGTGTTTCTCCACCTCTAGGCGTGTGCGCCGCTCTTTCATTGGAACGTCAACCAGAAACAGGCAGAATCAGGGAAAACACCTGTAGGAAACTGTCTCCTATTGGACCAAATGACCAGGAGGGCCACACCTTTCTCTCCCTGCAGAGGAGCCTTGATGGAGGACGACTACAGGCTGAGGAGCAACAGTAAGACACACGAACGTCTGGAAGGAAAACCTTAAACCGCCTCACACCGTCTTTGTTGTCTAGGAAACGATCAGCGCTACTGCGAGGTTGGCTTCAGCGCTGACATCACCAAGGTGACGTGGTCTTCCTGTTTCCTGTCTGGGATTCAGACGTTCATCAGTTGTGTAGTAACTGGTTACATTTACTAAAACCTTTTAGGGATGTTTTTTACTTCGCTGCACTTTTTACTTTTACCTTCCTAATTTCATTCTGAAGTATCGCTACTTTTACTTGAGCACAAATTCTGGATTTTCTGCCCACTGACTGAAAAACAAACACAATTTAAGCAAAAATTCACCAGATACAGACACACACCTGCAGTTTTTGTTAAACTAAGTTTTGTTTTCAGTGATTTGGAAACATTTTCTTTGCCTGATTTTATTTTTTGTTACTCATATAAATTATTGTCATTTTTGCCCTTAAAATACCAAAATTTCCACTTTACTTTATATTTTGATGATGTAATTTTTAAATATTAAATGATTATTAATTTGATTAGTTACTGTAGTAGACTTTTTACTAAATAATTTTTACTTTTACTTGAATAAAATATGTTGGGGTCGTGGAGATTCTAGTTGAGTACAACTTTTAGTTTCTTGATCTTAAAGTTTCATAAGTTTTTAAGGATTTCTGTAGGTTTTTCTTTGGATTTTAGCAACTTTTCCTCTCATCTACTCTCTGCTATTCATCTACTGGAAAAAAAACCTTTTGAGTCTGAAACAGTTTTATCCTTAATTCTCTAAATGTCCCAAGGAATTTTAGAGAATTGTGTCTTAGAGTAACTTTAAAAGATATAAAGAAAATGTTGCTTCCAAAGGATGAAGCTATAAAGAAATGGAGGATGTATCTAAACCTTTAAACAGGACTTATGATGATCTTTGACCTTTGCCCTCTGTGTTTAGGATGGTCGGTTGGTGCTTGGAGCTCCAGGAAGCTTCTACTTCCAGGGTGAGGGAGCCCTCTACTGGCTGTTAATTGTAACTACACCAGTTCCCCAATGGTTTTTGGGAAAATCTTTTGTTCAGGCTGAATGATGTGACTAAGGATAACTAAGTATCTGCAGTTACCAGCAGTATAGCCTCAAGAAGACCAGTTTAACAGTTTAATCAGCTGGATGTGAACATGAAATGCAGCAGTCAGACTGACGGCTTTCAGTGGAATCATTTTCCATCAGGTTTAACACTCTTTGCTGATTTCAGGTCAGGTGATCACAGTGGGTGTCAGTGACATCGTCAACAGTAGTCAGAGAGACGAACCCATCCAGTTTGTGGCTGGAATCCACCAGTCAAATGAGCAGGGAGGTTACGACCTTTACCGAGGTGAGAGACACATTAAAAGGGCTTTTATTCTGAAAGGTAAACATCTTTCATTTGTTAAGCTTTGGTATTTAAATAGACTTTTTTGTAAAGGGACGTAAGATTTTTTATGAACTGTCAAAAAGTTCACAAAAGTATTATTCAAAGCCTGAAATGTACTGTATTTCATGTGCTGATCAGCTTTTATTTTGAAGGGCAGGGAATGATGCAAATCTCCTACTTTTAAAAAGCAGAAAGAGACCAGTGTTTCCAAACTGCAACAGGATTTTCTAGAAGATCTTTAAAACTGCACAAAGTCACATGTGAAAAGCTAAAAAGTGTTTTTGTTTTTACTTTTTCCTGTTCTGCTGTGCAGCACATATTGTAGTCGTTTTATAAAAGCGATGAAACGTAATGTGTGTTTGTCAGGTTACTCAGTGGCCAGTGGTTTGTTGACTGGAGACGCCACAACAGGTAAGTAACTTTAATCTAATCTAGAGAGATTTTTCTTTTCCTAACCTTTTTGTGTTCACCAGATTATGTGGTCGGGGTTCCAAATGACAGGAACACGGCAGGAACGGTAAGTTTTCCCGTGTGGTTTGGGTTGTAATGAACTGATTCTGTGACTCTGATGAAGGCGATGCTCTGATGTTGGTCTGCTCTACCAGGTGAAGATCTATGACGGCAGGATGGCCGGCTCCCTGAGAGTTCACCACACCTTCCCGGGGACTCAGGTGAAAACTCAAACTGTTCTGCTCTGTTCGGATGCTAATGAACTGCAGCTAAGATGTCTCCGTTTCCTGCAGGTGGCGTCCTACTTTGGTCACAGCGTCGCCGTGGCGGACGTCAACAGTGATGGGTGAGAAGAAACACATCTGGGAGATTTAGTGTTTTTCTGAAAAGATGGAGGCTGGATCTATTTTCTGGTGTGACTTTGGTTGTGTTATTGGTTTTTGGTGCAGCCTGGACGACGT